ATGAAGATAAAATGCTTATGAAGAATAAAAGAGTAAAGCTGATTTTCCCCAAGAAGGGAAAAAAACAACAGAAGGATTGGTCAGTGTTCCTTACTACGAAGTCTCAGGAGAGCTGCAAGTTTTTCTCTAAAATAACCATCTCAAAGGTTGCAACACATTTCCTTGCCTTGCTTCAAAATTCTATGCCCGATAAAGTCTGTCCTCCTTCCCCACCATCCACTATTAAGTGTATAAGTGTATACTGATAAGGAAACACTCAAACCTTCATAGTAAATGGGCTATAAGACAAATATTGTACACGTGAAATACATAATCAGGTGTCAAAATGAATAGACGTGACAAAAAGTGATGGAGTTTAGGGAAGAAGAAAAGTAGTCAAGGAATGCCTCTGCACAGGACAGAGCTGAGCTATGCTCAGGAAACTGGGTTTATGGGCAACCCCACATCGCAAGAAGAAAAGGACCTAAGGGGCTAAACATGGCACTTCTAGAGGACAATGAAGAGTCAGGCTTGCTTAGAGGCAATTGTTTTTATTCTGAACAGTTTTAACAATTGGAGAGACATGGATTATCTTGAGTGGCTTATTAAGTTTAACTTTATTCTGGAAGACAACTTGAGACTTTAAAAGAACATGGGATATGGTGAAATCCATGGTCTTGGGAGAATTTCTCTGTAAACTCCTTTGGCATTCACTTCAGAAAATGGAAAATATTCTAACCCTCCCACAGGGCTCAGCAGTAGAGCAAAGTGATTAAGAGTCACAATGCCTGCCTAGGTTCATGGCCTATCTCTGCTACCAACAGCAGTGACACAGGGGCTAGTTACTTACACCTTTCTGGACCTTCATTTCCTCACTAGAAAAGGTTGCTACGGGGAATCACTGGGCTCCCACCTAGAGCATGTACAGTGACCAGTAAGGACTAGATCCTCTGCTTAGAGTTACCATGGGCAACTACTTACTGTAAATTATCAAAGGATATGGAAAGATATCCTGTAAGATTATTACTTGAGATTTAAGGGGGCAAAAAAGTCAATGGTCACTAAATTATGGGGTTTTTTAATACCTCGCCAAGATTGTTTCTCAATCTTCTGGTTAAGATGAAGTGTGTGTATCTTACTCCCAGAAGTGTTTTTGCTGAAATGGGAAAGCATACTGGCCAGAGAATCCAGAGAAGTTGATTCCACTGGGTAAAGTGGATCTCAGAATTTCAAGTTATCTCAAATGTACAAGGTGTCAGTGGCCTCAGGCAACAAATTTTGCCAGCCAAGTCTGCAATTCTATTGCTGCTATACAGTGATAGTGCACACAGCACTAGAAGTTACCCAATGGAGCCCAAGCTGAAAAAGGGAACATATATTACTGGACACAAACTTAACTTCCTCAGGGAGATAGCTCTAGAACTCTAGGAACTGTGGTAAGTCTACAGCATGCTGAGCTTGCTGTCCCTGCAGGACACTCCTGTCTGACAAGCTGCGCCACCAGCCCCGTGTCGTGATTGCTAGCTTTCCTAACAGCACAGTGAAGGCCTCAGCCGCTCACTGCTAAATGATTCTTTGCCCTTCCATAATCTTAGTTACCCTGTGGCTATTCGGCCTTCGGCACAACGCTGATGCCTTTGAGCATGTGGACTTCTGATTGCCATGCCCTGCGACTGTTCCCTCCCCCCAGACTACAGCAACAGTTGGTCCTGGTTTTGTCTTTATTGCCTGACGGGTTTTTGGTTGTTCTTCACTGTCGGAGAGGCTACCACCCGCCACACTGCCTGAGATCCATTAGTGCCACCCTCTTTCCTTTGTTCCTTTCCTGTCTTAGGCCTCTCCATGCTGTCCCCAGCTGCTATCTTTGTGTGACAAAGCCAGCCTTCCACTGGGCATCAAACAGCTCTTCCCATCCAATCAGACCCCTTCCCCTCCCTTCTCATGGGACACCTGTGCTCATCAGGTCCTGAGTGCTTATTGTCAGGGACTTGGGACTGCCTACTTGTGACCAAAAGAGCATGGGATTAGAACCCAGAGAATCCCAGGCCAGTCACCATTCTGCCACTTACTAGCTGTGTGACTTTGGGTAAACATGCACTTCAGTATCCTCTTAGGTCCAACAGGCATATCATCTATTTTTCAACAGGAGTAATAAGGAGTAAATGTGTGCATGACAGGGTAAAACCAAAGGCTATTGGGAATGATTTCAGCTCCTTCTAGGAATGAAGAAGCCATGAGAGCACTGGGAGGCTGGCCTCCAGAGAGCCACGATTTTCCTTTATTTAATCTATTAAAAGCCTGAGAAGAATTCTGAACGTTGTCCCCAAATAAGCTCTGCAGAACAGTAACATCTCTTGAACTAACCATATTTATATACCCTCTTCAATTTAAGAAATTTATTATTTATGGCTGGAATGTCATCTGAATCAGATATCTCTAAGTATTTACCATTTTTCTAACTAAAAATGCAGATTAAAAAAACTTAAATCACCCATAATCCCACCACCAAGAGAAAAAAAACATTTAACATTTTACTGAATCTCTTTCTAGGCCTCTTCTGATTAGTTTTGTAAAAATACATGTAATGTAGTGTATATTTATATTTATGTACATATTTGGCAACTAATCTTTTCCATGTAATAATATATCAAACATTTCCCCAACTTCCAACCCTTAGTTTTCAAATGAAGGGTATTTTGAATCTATTTCATGATTATTCACATATGGACATAATACACCAACAGAAAGTTTTATATATCGAACTTTCTGGTTAATTTTTTTTTATCGAACTTTCTGGTTAATTTTAGAATCCCCAGAGAAAGTTAAATGTTTACAATAAAAAAAGTTTTATGTGTTGGTAAAATTCAAGTAATGAGTAAATGTAAAATACTAAAGAATAAAACTAAGTTTATATAAGTAAATTCAATAGTATAAATACTATGTAGATCATACCATCTAGAATGCCACATTTTTCTCCAACTGACACATTTTTTTAGATATAGGGTGCTAACAAATTAACAGGAACCATGAATAAGACAGTCTTATGGGTAACTGACTGATCAGAATTATTGCCTTCATTCAAACCTGCATCAGAAAGAAACACTCTGTTCTAGAAAAAAAAATAAAATAAAATTTAAGATTCTGTAAAGTGATAACCTGCTTTATATTCATGTTGTCAGTATAAACCAAGCAGTGGTCTTAAACTGAAAAACACAGGAAACACTGATTGTCACAGCTCACCTACAACTTTAAGGAGCTTTACAAAAACATGGGTGTTACTTGTTTCAATATGAAGACAATAAAGGCAAGAAAAGACCAAAGATCTTTCCTACCTTTTTAAAGATTTTATTTGTTTGAGAGAAAGAGAGCGAGCATGGGAGCACGAGCCGAGGGGGAGGGGCAAAGGGAGAAGGAGAAGCAGACTCCTGTCTGAGCAGGAGCCTGATGCAGGTCATGATCCCAGAGTCCTGGGATCGAAGGCACACACTTAACCAACTGAGCCACCCAGCCGTCCCGATCCCTCCTACTTTTAATAAATTTGAGGGACTACTGACAAAATGGACTCTTAAAACCATTACTGAGCTTTTGCCCTTAGACAAATACTGGTATGCATTTTCTGTTTTTAAAATATTTAGGCCAGGGGTGCCTGGATGGCTCAGGTCAAGATGTGTCATAGGATCGAGCCCCATGTCAGGCTCCATGCTCAGCACCGAGTCTGCTTGAGATTCTCTCTTTCTCTCTCTCTCCCTTCCTCTGCCCCTCCCCACACTCACTCGCTTTCTCTTAAGTATTTTTTTAAAAAATATTTATGCCAAAGATAGAGATTAGACAGCCAAACTCAGGAGAATTTCTATAAACCAAAGACATAAAAACAATGAATGAAAAGATTTCAACAGTCAAGTCACACAAGAAATTCAAATGGTCTACTAATAGGAAAACACACTCAACTTCACTAATAAGGCACGTAAATTTATTTTTAAAGACTTTTTTTTTTATCTGACAGAGAGACAGCGAGAGAGGAAACACAAGCAGGGGGAGTGGGAGAGAGAGAAGCAGGCTTCCCGCAGAGCAGGGAGCCCGATGCAGGGCTCGATCACACGACCCCAGGGTCATGACCTGAGTTGAAGGCAGACGCTTAACGACTGAGCCACCCAGGCGCCCCTAAAGCATGCAAATTTAAATAAGAGATTATTTCTGCATATCAAATTGGCAAAAAAATAAATGGAAAAAAAATGGAAAATGAACACTATCAAACACTTGGAGGACAATCTGGCAGTAATACCAAAATTTTAAATAAGCATGTCCTTGCAGCAAAATCCCACTTTTATATATTTCTCCTAGAGAAATAGTAACCTAAGGCATGAAGACATGTACAACCATGTTCACAGAAATATTACTTGTAACCTGCAAAAAAGGAAAATATCTAAAACACCTAAATCGACTTATCATTTAGGGAATGGTTACATCACCTATGCTTTGTTCACACTAGGAAAGGTCACTCAGCCTTCAAAAGGCCATGGACATTAAATAACATAGCAGGGTGTTCACAATGTGTCACTCCGTGAAAAACAAAGCCAACTACAGAACCATATGTATGGTAGGATCCCGTTTGCCGCAGAAAACAAAAATAACACAAGTGATAGTTTATTTTCATTTTAAAAACTTCTTTGAGTATGTATAGACAATGATCCGGAAGAAGAAACTGTTTCTAGTGTTTCTCCCTGGAGTTATGAATATGTGATGGCAAGAGACAGGGACTAAGTTTTTATTTTATAACTTTCCCTGTTTGAATTTTTTTTATAAACAATTGTATCACTTTTATAATTTAAAAAATTACCAATAAGGGGGGGGTTCTCTCAAAAAATTAAAATGCAACATATTGTCAGAGTAAAATTTAAAAAGTACCTCAGCACACGGACCGCCCAGGAAGTTAGGGAGTTATCTGCTCGATAAGTAAGCTGGAGAATTAAGGCATCATCTTCAATAGAATGACTAAGCATCAGCTGTAACAATCAGCTTACCTCTTTAGGTGATAGATTTTGTGTGTATACTGTCCCTTTTCTCCATCCTTCTCATAAGGTTCATTTTTTAAGACTTCAATTCCTTCTCCACCACCAGTTTCATTCTTACTAGCTTCTGCAACAGAGTAAAGCTGCCCAACCTGATACTGGAATTTCAGAGCACAGAATTTCATTAAGCCAGTAGTACCTGCGGAAATTTCCTATGCTAAAATCTTACCATATATGATATAGAAAAGTTTGTCCAAATCATTCAGCACATCTGTTCCATATGAAAACATGACTCAAGTTAAAAATTAATGTTTAGGAAGATTAAGTACTAGATGATCATACAGCTTCAACAAACTAATATTTTATGAGATTTCCATGATTTGAGAAAATTGCTAGTTACAAATACTCTGGGGTGCCTTCATATGTACTACCCACTTATCAAGAAAACATCTTGATGTGTGGCCCAGCTTTTTGTATAATATATATTTCTATTTTCCAAAGCACTTTCATGTCTATTCTATCTCATTTAATTTCACAAAATTCTCGGGGGAAAAAAAAGGCATGAAGGAATATAATTGTTACTCTGCTAATTAAGAAAGATAAGCAATCAGAATACCACTGTCAATGATAAAGAGGAGGTATATAAAGTGTAATTTAAAAGCCTGAAAATACAAAGAACCATTACAGTCCAAATTTTAGTAGACCTCTGGGGTCTTTTTTCCGACGACTTATGCCTGACATGCCTAATCTAGCCCTTGTCCACCTCAAGAGAATGGATACTGGATATCCAGGATCAAAACTGTTAATGGTAAAGTTCTCCAGTAAACAGAAACTGTTTTTGAAGTATTACAAATACACAAGAATTACTATAAAAGGCAAGAAATTGCTGACAGTGGCTTCTATTTCATTTTAAAGTAAATCAGAATTCTCAATGGCCTGAACCAATACCTGTGAGTGGGCAGTATTGTTCTGTGCCAATCTGGAGCTGCTATAACAGTTCCAACAAATAATAAAAGGCAAAGTTCTCATGTTCTAATTTGTTCTAGTGACTCAACCATGGCACAGTCTCCAATCTCTTCAAATTTGGCTAAATCTCTTCCTCCAGGTGAGGACAACCTGAAGAAATGCTTTTCTTTGTTTTTAAGCACATTTTCAAAGAAAAGCTACCTGTAAGAATGAAATCATTGAAAATGAACATTTTATTTGAGACAATAAATAGGAGTAATTGTAAGTTCAGTAAATACTTATATTTAAAAAGTCCATGGGAATATGACACTATCTTGAAGGTTAATTTAAATACACACCAACTCAATCACTCAATTTGGGTTTAGAAAGCTAGAAGCTAGAACCAAACACACTTCTTAAAAGCAACAAAGATAATTTCTGTAGGGATTTTAGACTGCAGAGAGGGTGTATTTCTTCTCTGGTTTTTGTGATACAACACCAGGGTTAGTCCAATAATGCTACAACCCTTAAATCCTTTAAAATGTACTTTTCAACACTGTCATTCTTAAAGGACAATTAAAATGTCTCTAAATCAAAAGGTAAATTTAATCTTGGTCAGGAACAGAGTAACAGAACTTTACAAAGAAACAACAGTATCCAAAAAAATGTTATTAATGAACTGATATTTTGTGGCATGCCACTAGCCTTTCCTTTTCATTTTTGAGACTAATTTGAGATAGAAGGCATGTTTAATAAGTCTGAATAGAAGAAAAAGCTGAGATTATTTTCAGTGACAACACCAAGTCAGAAAGATTTCGACAAGTTGATCCAACTGACTGAAACGAAAGAAAAAATTTAACAAAAACAAATGTCAATTTCCACATTCAGGTTCAAACAATCAATTGCACAAGTAAAGCATAGGGGTGCCTGGTTTATCTTGAGTGTTTTAATATGGGGAAACCTCAAGCACTACTGAGATATATATAGCTAAGTTCAAGTCTACTTTAAGCTGTGCCAGACAGCTACTCATTTATAGTTCCTGCATTTTGGGTTTGTTTGTTTTTTTTCTCCTTTCTGTCTTCTGTCAGCTGTCACTTCTTAGGTTATCAGTTTGTTTTGTCCCACTTCCAATTCACTGCTTCTAATCTACTGTCAGCTCCAGGAAAACCAGATAACTGAGCAAGTGCAAACTGTGTGCAAGTTACAGAATGACCCAGAGGGCTTTGTGGGGTTTGCTACACATACCACATACCTCAGTTTCTCTGCTTTTATCTTCCTTCCTGGCTCTACCACAAATAGCTACAACCGAAGGACACGCAAGTTCTGAACAGGTAGTGTATTTCTATATTATGTGCAGATCAAGGGAGACAATAATCTCTCTCAGTTACGTGCTGGTCGGACCACGTCTGGAATACTGTTTTCAGTTAAGAGCAACAACTACAACACAAGCAGTGGTTAGACCAGCTGGTGAGGAAGTCTAGAGGTCATGTTATACTAGGCCAAATGAACGTGCTGGGAATGTTTAACCCTGTGACCTCATGTAGAGACGATGGAACAAAAGAACTTGAAGGGAGAAGAGAGAATGGCCAAGAGAAAACCTGAAGGGCTACCATATGCCAGACAGAATAGACTTATTTCCCACTGCACAAGTGGAAGGAACTGTAAACAACAAACATTATAGGAAAGCAAATTTTGTCTTAAAGACAAATGCATAAAATATCCAACAGTAAAACAGACTTCCTCTAAGCAGCAAGTTACTTAACCTTAAAGTGCTTTGTTGAGGTTGGAACCTCCTTTCTCTGGGATACTGTAGCCAGAAATCCTGAACTGGGAAGAAGATTAAACTACATTCTTTAGAGCCTTCTGAAACAAGGCAGTGTAACAGAATTCATTTACAATGAATTATCTGTAATACACCACAATTCATTTTGTCACATAAACTGGAATGTAAAGGTAAGTAAATACAACTTTAAATTGTATGACTTTAAATATGACTTTAACATATTGAAATAAGCTGTATCAACAAAATAATACAGAAAAAACCAAGACTTACCTCCTGAACAGAACATGGCAAAACCACACGGCTAAAATGACAAAAGAAAAAAAAATGTCACGTATAAAATATTTGGCTTTAAAACACAGATCTCTAGATCTGTGTTTTACTTAGAACTTTTGCTTAAATCCAACAATAGCTTAATACAAGAATGTCATTGTCTTTACAATGCCTACGGCTCTAAATAAAAATTTTTAAGTTGGGGAAATAAAACCACCATTTGCGGGCCTCAATGATCACTCCCATTTAGTGTCCTCATTGTACCAGGACCTCAAAAACACAGTTGCAGAGATTCTTGTGAGGAGAAAAGGAACAACAGAAAACTCATCACTGAAAATTACAGGGTACTGAATACATTATTTTTAGACTGTCTAGTCAGGTTGCCCTCATGAAATTTTTAGTATGGTTTCATTCTCCATCTATATGCTACATATTTTGTTTTTATGATATTTCTGATAGAATATATGTCTTGAATCTCATGAATGAATGCTTCCAAAAATTGTTCCCCACTACCCAATTATTCTGTTTTATTAAACAAATAAAAGGTCCCTTAGATGTAACAAGAAAAAACTTTACCAAGGGAAATACTTTGAATCTTAGAAATAGAACCCCTTCCAGGGCAGACGCAATGTAAGGTTGACTGGTGTTTGATCTTGTCCAAGAGTTTGTTACTAGACCAACAAAAGGACTGAAATGGAGGCATAACGCCCCAGAAGATATAATTCAAAAAAAATTTATGGTAAATTATATCAGAATATTGCACTTTATCACCAGATTTTTATAGGGAAGTACCTTCACTTATCTCTAGCATAAACTCTGAAAACCCCTGAATATCAATTATCTCACAATAATAGCTGGTGTCCAAGATAGCAACTTCTTTTTTTGGCCTGTTCTTTCTCACACTTTTCCCTGCTAACCATTAAGGTACCATAGCAGTGTTATGTAAACTTTCATTTTAACTCTCTATTATAATGAGAGGAAAAAAAAACCCCACAACCGTCACCTTGATTTTCATTTTATAGAAAATTCCCAATAGTTTTTCCTCATTCCAACTTTTCTTCAGCTGCACTGTCCACCCACCCCTCTCTCCCTATTCTCCTCAAATATCTATGCCTGAGTCCTCACATCACCTTGATCTCCAACATGTATAAAACATGCCTCCTGTTATTCTCTCCTCCTTCACTATCAGGTGTCACTCATCACTCTTTGTCTTTCTGATAATGGTCACCTAAAGACGACGAACATTCTCAAACACCATGATTACTAATTCCTATTCTCATAAAAAACCTGTTATACAAAAATCCTTGCATACCTAATCCTTTTAACTGTCTCCTCAGAGTACACACTGATTTGCTCACTGTCCCAGGAAGAGAAAATAAACTGGGGCCAAGAGGGTGTGGTGGGGGCGGGGGAGGGGGCAGACTAAGATATAGAGGCTGAGAGCTTATTCTGGAAGATAAAGAAAGATATAGACAGAGATATAGGTTGGAAGCATATTTTTAGGGCCTGGAATACAATGATAAGAAATCTATTACATTTATTAGGCAACAAGGAATCCAGGAAGGTTGTTCCAAAAGGGAAGTGACATGACTAACAGCCAATCTAAAGAAGTCATCTGTAGCTGGTTAAAAAACATTGAGAGGCAGGAGTGTGGGGAATAACCATCTTTGAGGAGGCTGGGCAAGGGTTTACAAAGGCCTGAACCAAGATGACGGGCTGCAGAGGAAACGGAAGGAATAGAGAGGAAAGAGTTAAAGACTTCCCGGAACTTTCACAAAACCAAACAATCACTGCTGAGTAATTTTAACAACTACTCACTAGTGGGAAGATCCCTATTTTTATATAACAACACTTTCAGCAAAACTTATTTCACAAAATCAAAGTGACTGAATAAGACATTCTGGATGAATAATGAGTCAAATAAATTCTTCAAGATTTGCTTAATGAAAAGTAAAAGAAATAGACAGACTTTGATTTTTTTTCCTCAAAGCCTCATTCAACTTTTACAATTTGAAAATTTTCAAAATTCTCTGAAAACCCTCAGGAAAATAATTTTCCAAATGGAACTAGCAACTAGTTCTTTAGAACTAGGACTTTACACTAATGGCAACTTCACCTATTGCTTAAATAACAACTTAAAGGGAACTCCCCCACCCTGAAAAGTCATTTCTAACCTTTTATGTCAAAAATAGATGGCATTTCTTAAAACAACGAACATTTGCCAAAGTATTTTACAGTTTAACAACATCTTCACATAGGAATGACCTATTCATTGCTCCTAACCAAAAACGATTTTAGAAAGTTGACTTGAAAATAGGAGGAATCATTTTTTTCATTCAACAACACTGAGCACTTACAGGATGGTGGCCTAGATGCTATGCCGGGTACTACAAACAAGATAAAAACAGCCTCTGCTTTCAAAAAGTCTAAAAGGAGAAAAAAAAAAAGTCTAGGGAGACATACATGAAGAGTGAACATCAAGAAATGTAATTTATAACTTCTTAGGAAAAAAATTACATTTGGGCACATTTCGGCATGTGTTACCTTGGCGCATTTAAATTTTTATAATGAAAGTAACGGTTTCACAAAAAGCGTATCGTGCAAATTCCCAATGGGAACTTCTTTCCATGAGTTAGCTTGATACTCCTCACATAACTGTCAAAGGGATCTACTGAACACTTAATTCACATTTTAGGAGGGAGGAAATAACTCTAATAAAAATGACGAGATCTATGATGTAAGATCAGTTCTACAACTCACTTGCTATGTGACTTGGGCCAAGTCAATTTCCTTCTGTCTTGTTTCCTCCATTTGTCTTAATATCTGCCACCTACCTTACATTAAAAAGTTGTCAGAGTAATAAATAAAACTTTCATGATACATTGTATAAACGACTTGGAAGAAAAACTTTATATAAATCCAGAATTCAATACTATAAACTTTATCCAAAAATGTGTCTTTTCTCAGGATCCCTGTCACTGACTAAAGTTGTTAATTTTTCATTAACTTAACAAGTACTTATTGAGCCCTTACTATGCTCCAAGGACTATTCTAAGAGTTGGGAATATGGAAGTTAACAAAGTAGACAAATTCATGGAGCCTGCATGTAGCCAAGAGAATACATGTAGTAAAATAGAAAAAAAGTGAATGTATTGTATGTTAGATGGTGATAATTGCTACAGACAACAATAATGCAAGAAAGGCAAATACAGTGGGGGTTGCAATTAGGTCTTCACAGAGGGACTCCCCAAGAAGGTGATACTTAAGCAAAGACCTGAAGGAGGCAGATTACTGAGATGAGAGAAGAGCACTTCAGGCAGAGGGAACAGCAAGCAGAAAGGCCCTGAACTGAGCTTTTTCCCTGAAGTAATGAAAGAACTATAAGGACGCTTGAGCTTGAAATGGACACAGGCACGTGCAGGGTAGTAAATGTGATCAGAGGAGAAGAGAAAATAGTGTAAGACCTCGTGGGCTATTGTAAGGACTTTTTTAATTCACGAGATAAGGAGGCTTTGGAGGGTTTTAAGCAGAGAAGTGACAGTAGTGACTTTCTAAAGGAAGTTTGAGAACACTAAAGATAAGGTGTCTTAACTAAATTAAGCCAAAATTTACGTTTAAGAATTTAAAGTGAGAAGAGCATTTGAAAAACCAAAGAACAGGCCATACTCGAAATCCCTAGGTGCCCACAGGATGCTGACGATACGAACCAGCTGTGACAACTCAACAATCATGGCTAAACATTTCCTGTGATAGTTACAGTGCTTGCCGGTGGGAAATGCCATAACTTTTCATTAAATTACTCCGCCGGTCTAATGCACCTGAAAACCCTTCCATTTGACAGGCCACGTGTTAACAATTCTTCACGTCAACCCCGTGAAGTAGGTGGAACCCAATCACCCCATCTTAAAGATGTGAAAACTGAGACTCAAAGCAGAGCGACGGCTCCCCTGATAAGTCAACTGAGCCGCCCTGGGGAGCGCAGTTTTTCCGAACTCCCAGCTCCTGCCTGAACTTCAGGGCGCCTACGTCCCACCTCGAGTCCCCACACCGTGGCTGTCTTCACCGGGCAAACCCATCTTTCGCGGGCTACAGGTAAGCTCCACCCCACACGACAAATCACTGTCAGACCCACCGCGCCTCCCCACCCTCGGGCTCCGACTCGGCCCCTGGCTCGGTCCTCCCGGACGGGCGTGCGGGTGGGCCCAGGCTGGGACTGGAGATGGGGGGTGGGGAGAAGGCGGGTCCCAGCGGAAACTCCCGGCCTCGCCTTCCCGAGCCACGCGCTCCGACCCGGACCCAGGCGCCTCCGCCCCAGGGGAGTGGGCGGCGGGATTACCACGGCAACGCCAGTGGACAGAGTCTGGGGGCACGCAGCGGTGAGGCCTTCAGTGGGCTGGGGGCGCGGGCCGGGGGGAGGGGGCGCGCGCAGGGAGCGGCCAGCCAGAGGCTCGCTCCTTTCTAGGAATATTTCGCTTCCGCCACTTCTCAATCAGTGAGTCTCCCACCACCGCCGTTGGGTAACCTTGCTCGCGCCCACCGACCCACTCACAATTCCTTAATCAGCACCATCTTCCTGGAACCCCCTCACAGCTGCCGCCGCTATCACCGCCACCGCCGCCGCTACCGCCCCTCACGGCGCCTGCGCAGCCCCGCCTCCTTACCCCCCTCGCCGAACCACCGCGGCGCCTGCGCGTCCACACCCTTCCGCCGCGTCTCGTCGCGTCAGCGCGCGCCAAGGGCTAGCTCCGCCCTAGTCTCGCGCCCCACCATGGGCTCGCGGAGCTTCCACTGCGGCTGCGCGTCTGGCTCATGGTGGGGGCCTTAAGGCTTCTGCTGCTGCGCACACTAGGCGCGCGCTCGCGAGTTCCCTTCTTGCGGCTCCTCCCTCCAGTCAAGTTCCGTCGGGGTGTGTGTGCAGCCTCCGCTCTTTGGTGAGTTTTCCAAACAGTTCTCTGAAGTCGTTTCCTCGTGACCAGCGCTAAACTTTCTCCCACTGCTTTTGAGAAGAGGTCCTCTCCTTGAACTCTCACTCCGGGCTCCACGTGAAAGACTTGTGTCGGGTTGGGGAGGCCGACGCCACCGCGTTGTGCTCCGGTGGCGGGCTCCGTCGGATTCCGGGAGACCGAGACTTAACTGACTCGCAGCTCACTTGCATATTCCGGCAGCCTCGTGAGTGCAGCCGTGTGACCGTTGCTCACCAGGCTAGGGCCAGCATCTGTGGCCACACCAGCTCCCCAGCCCCCGAATCCAGTGACTCGACGGGAGGAGCGCCCTCTACTGGCGACGAGGTTCCCTGTGGGGGCAAGGGGTTCTCGCCCGTAAGACCCAGGAAGGGGACCTGGCTGGGAGGGCGGTCGCGCAGCCACAGTGAGAGCCCGCGAGACCCCCCACACCCAGGCTCCAAGCTGCCTGAAAGGTTTTTGGCTTTTTTTTTTTGGCTTTTTGGTGGACCTTCGGATGAGTGGTGGCCCCGGGGGTCACTCGTTTACTTTGTGCCAGGCACAGTACCAGGCACTGGGGTACATCTGGAAACAAAATCCGCACGGCCCCTGACCTCCCTTAGGAACAAATCAATAAGAGGATTTGGTTTAGCGGTGAGCGCTATTCCATGAATGAACGAAACAGGGTAATGGAAGAGGCAGAGGCATCAAGGGAAGGCTCTCAGGAGGCCATGGTTGAGCCTACGGTTATGAACAGCCCAGCCTGTGAAGGTGGTGGGGGAGACACTCCAGTTAGAGGGAGATAGCCCCTGAGGCTGGAGTATTTGAGGGGCAGGTGGAGGGTAGGTGTAACTAGAACATTTTAAATGAGGGGGGAAGATAAGTTGGGACTAAATAGGTCACTAGGCCATAGTAAAGAACTTGAATTGTATTCCGGGAACCATGGGAATCTGTTAGAAGGTTATCAGAAGAATAAAATGAACATTAAAAATGTTTGATATAAATCTGTGTGGTGTATCGGGTACTAGAAGACACCCAGTGGAATTAGGGCTACCTCAAAAGTAATATAAATGAAATACTTAACAAAAAGCTAGAGATTTCCTCCTAAGGCAGTATCTGGGGATCATTTCTGTGATGCCTGAAGCACTTTGCTCGTTATGATGACGACCATTCAAGGAAACATGCCCTCTCCGGGATGTTAGAAGTTGGGAGTAGCTTCCATCTTTTCGGCACCTATCATATGCCAGGTACTGTGCTAGGTAATGGAGATGCTTTATCTCATTGGCTATATGATGATATATCTCAAGAGCAAGGCAATGAGATAGGTATTTTAGCATGTTTTAGAAAGGAAAGAAAATGAGGTTCAGGGAACCAAAGTGACCTGTGCAGAAGTCATTAAGCCAGCTTGTTTACAGAACCAGGTTTCAAATCTGGGTTTTAAAAACTTCAAAGTCTGGTCTTTCCACTGCACTGAGGGTTTTTTTTTAGGAAAAAATGAATAGGAAGTTGGGGCATGCAGACAATCTATGACAAATAATTGTTCTCAATTACGGGAAGAAGGTGGTTATGGTCAAAATCTAGAAGTTACTTAGAATAAAGTACAAATTTGAATAGTATGCCTCTGTGTGTGTGTGTGAGATTTTTTAAGGTCCAAGGAGGTAATATTAATTGTCAAACCTGTAAGTAGTCATTTTATGTCATAATTTCTCCCGAATTGTTATGCAGGGTGAAAATACAGCTTTAAAAACTTTGTGGATGAATTTGTGGTTGACGTGCTTTATCAATCATTAAGAAAAATGTAGGATGTTGTATAACTTTTCTTGACGTTTTCCCACAAGTGTTCATTAATTCCACTGTCTGCATAGCACAGTTGCTGCTCATAGTTAGTACTCAAATGTTTGTAAAATAGACTGTGCTAGATGGAGCATAACTCTGAACCATTAATACAGTATGGATAATGTTTCCCTTTGTCATCCAAAGATTGATATTAAAACATTCAGGAGCGCCTGGCTGGCTCAGTTGATACAGCATGTGACTCTCGATCTTAGGTTTGTGAGTTCGAGCCCCACGTTGGGTGTAGAGATTACTTAAAGGAAATAAGATCTTAAAACACCCAAATTTCCAGGGCACCTGGGTGGCTCAGTTGGTTAAGCGTCAGACTCTTGATTTTGCTCAGGTCATGATCTCACAGTCATGAGCTGAGCATGGAGTCCGCTTGGGATTCTCTCTCTCCCTCTCCCTCTCTTCTCCCCTCTTGTGCTCTCTCAAAAAAAAGAAAAGTATAACACTCAATACAAACTACAAGGATAAATTAAGAAAGTAACCAGTTTAGACGTATTTATTGAGGGGAAAAATACTGATTCAAAATTAACTAGGTTGGTAGAAAACATGAAATCTAGTTATTGTGCTTTCTATCTGCCTAGGAGATAAAAGTGGGAGAATGAAGGAATATTGAAGAGGACTAGAGAGCAGCAAAGACATGAACCATTACCCCAAAATGAGAAAGGAGGACATACAAAGAAAAAGATCATTACAAATAAAAATAAACTAACGGATTGTGTGGCATGTTCTTATTTTAAAACTAACGATGTTAGATCTTGCGCATTTTGCAAATATGGGCATAATATGGGATATAACTTACTAATAATTGTTTCTGGATATAGAAAAAATCAACATCTTTTAAGCCTAATGTTTCTTTTTCATTGTTCTAACTTTCAGCCCTCAACAAAGGTAACTTTACACACAAGTGTACGATTGCATTTAACTAATTCTGCATGCCTCGTATAATGAACAATCTCATTTCTGTCATTCTGGAGCAAAGAGCTCATTCTAGTAAGAATAATGGTAGATTTATTGAGGCAGATCAAAAGATTTCTGACCATGAGTGATGTTTGGAACACTTATGCACTAGTTGATAAAGTACGACTCTGGTCAAAGAAATTCAGTCGGTCTTTCAAATATTATAATTCAGTTTCCCCCCTTTTTCTTTTTTTCCTAAAGCAGACGTTCTTAACCAAAGGCTTTTTGGTGGGTGTTAGGGAATTTGTGAACCACTGAAATTATATAATTTTATGTCCATCTTTCTGGGGGGAGAAGTCTATAGCTTATATTGCCTTGCTTAGTCTGCATTTTCCCATCCTATTTTTACCTTCTTCCAATTCTAGAATTATCTTGATTGAGACTATTTCTATGAAAATTAGAAATATTTCCAAGAATAATTTTGTCAAATCTTAGGGCATCAACCATAATATTGTGCCACCTTTGGGGACATAGGATTGGGCTTTGCAGTAGAAAACCCTTGGCCTGAATCCAGGCTCAGCCACTTGCTGCCTATGTACCTTGAGTAAATTATTTAATCTCTCAGGGACACTATCTCTACAAGGAATATCTATAACAGATTTGTTGTGAGGAATAAAAGACATGAAGTGTGTAAATCTCTCTCTTACTACCTGATACTTAATAGGTGTTTGATGAATGGGAATCATTTGAAAGCCTATAGCTTTCAGAGAGCAGAACAATAAATTAATATATAATTAAGTTCCTCCCATCCATCTCCCTTCATTCCTAGAGGTAGCTACTATCAGTAATCACTGTTCATCCTAATGTATGAATAAGAATGCATATATGAATGCATATATTTCTATATGTATTCATAAATGACTATAGTAACTTACCCTTTCACCTGCAGAGCATAATACAGATTTCTGTTCTGTATCATCACCAACATTGGGTATTGTCAGAATTTTTCATTTTTGCCGCTTTTATTGGTTTTAGATTGCTGTCTCACGTATTCACTTGGCATTTCCTCGCAGTGTCAGGATCTCCATGCTTACTGTCCATGTTCTTATTTGCTCATTTTCCTATTGGTTTTGTTTTCCTCTTTTTGATTTATAGAAGAATATATACATAGCCAGTTTGGATTTGAATTCTGTTTTGATTATATGCACTTTGTATACATATTTTCTATCTGTGGATTGTTATATCACATCGTTTGTAGCAGGGTTTCTCAGTCTCTACAGTACTGACATTTTGGGTCAGATTATACTTTGTTGTGGAGACTATTCTGTGCCTTGTAGGATGTTTAGCAGCTTCCCTGGCCTCTATCCACTAGATGCCAGTAGATTCTCTCCAGTCATGACAATCAAAAATTTCTCCAGACAGTGCCCAGTGTCCCCTGGGGGGCAAAATTGCCCCTGATTGAAAACCACTGGTTTATAGTGACTCTGTTGTGCAGTTATTTATCTTTAAGAAAATTTTATCCCACTAACATTTTTTTGAATATATATTATATCCCAGTCCCTATGTGTTTCACATGACTTACCCCTAAGCTATTTACTCATCACAGCACATATAAAATAGGTACTGTTATTATCCCTATTTTATAAAGGAGAAATGTTGTTTATGTCTTATGTGCAGAAAATGTTAAACTGTACTAGGCTATAATTTACATACAGTAAAATGCATCATTTTAAATACACAGTTTTAAGAGTTACATCAAATAGATACTTTGATAATATAGCAATCAAGGTGCAAGACATCTCCATTTCTATAAAAGGTTTCCATGTGCCCCTTTCCTGTCAGTCACCCACACTCCCAGGCCCAGGCATGCTTGGAACTGCTTTCAGTAACTATAAATTAGACTTGGGTGTTTTTTTTTTTTTTTTTTTTTTTTTTTGTATCATGTCATCGAATCATATA